GTTATTGAGTTGCTGCTATGTGGTCCAAAATCCAACTTTCCCCACTAATAATATATCAAGGAATTGACTCCGCTACTCCAAAAAAAAAAAAAAAAAATGGTCCGTATATCTAAAATTTATTATTTTTATAAGTATTTTTATCACTCTTGTGATAATTATTTTTTAATATTTTTTTTGGTACCACAAAAATAAGAAAAACACGCATAATAATAGTAAAAATATTGTAATAAATGTCAATGTAGTACTAAAACTTTTTTTCCTCGATACCATAGACAACTTCATAGATTAATTTATGGGTACCGCTATTTTTTATTGTATTGCAATTTATTTTTTGATACTCTTTAATAAAAAAACTAAAATATTGTAAATTTTATCCTAAAAAATTATAACTTTTTCCTAAAAATTTGGTATATGTACTCTAAAAATTAAAAAGTTTCACCCAAAAATAATATAAATATCTATAATATATATATTTACTGTACCACATTCAAACCCCATCAATTTATATATTATTCCATCAGTCTGCATGGCGGCTAATCCGTTGCTTTTTCCGGTTCAAATCCGTCAAGCTTGCCTTTCTGTCATCTAGGGATGGAATTAAGCAGGTAACAATTGGCCGGACCAATTTGAATTTAACACGAGTCCAACTCGAAAAAAAAAAGTTTGGGTTAAAATTTTTAATACTTGAGTAAAATTTAAACAAAAAAATTTCAACCCAAATCAAATTCGGGCAAACTTTAAGTTGTTGAGTATAACCCGAATATACATAAATATATAAATATATTTAACTAGAGTTAATATTTATCTTTACTCTTCAAAGTCCAAACATTCATTTCACTTTAAGTCTTCACTTCTGTGCCTCTATCACTAGAGGTATCAAACGTGTCAGGTTAAACGAGTGACAGGTGAAAAATATGTAAATTCATACACAACACGTTTAATAAACGGGTAAAAAATCTCAACACAAACAGAATCCGTTTAATAAACAGATAACACGACACGACTCGTTTAATCCGTTTAATTTTTAAAAAAATCATATCAATAAATTTTAATACACCACTTCTTTTACTGTCAATTGTATTTACCTCAAAAAAGAGAAATTGTAGTTCAATTTCACATAAAAATCAAATTTGAAGAGTAAAAAAAAAAGCAAGAGGTCATTGTCTTTTATATCAACAAATTTTAATACACTATTTTTTTTATCATCAATGATATTTACTTCAAAATAGANTTTATTATTTTTATAAGTATTTTTATCACTCTTGTGATAATTATTTTTTAATATTTTTTTTGGTACCACAAAAATAAGAAAAACACGCATAATAATAGTAAAAATATTGTAATAAATGTCAATGTAGTACTAAAACTTTTTTTCCTCGATACCATAGACAACTTCATAGATTAATTTATGGGTACCGCTATTTTTTATTGTATTGCAATTTATTTTTTGATACTCTTTAATAAAAAAACTAAAATATTGTAAATTTTATCCTAAAAAATTATAACTTTTTCCTAAAAATTTGGTATATGTACTCTAAAAATTAAAAAGTTTCACCCAAAAATAATATAAATATCTATAATATATATATTTACTGTACCACATTCAAACCCCATCAATTTATATATTATTCCATCAGTCTGCATGGCGGCTAATCCGTTGCTTTTTCCGGTTCAAATCCGTCAAGCTTGCCTTTCTGTCATCTAGGGATGGAATTAAGCAGGTAACAATTGGCCGGACCAATTTGAATTTAACACGAGTCCAACTCGAAAAAAAAAAGTTTGGGTTAAAATTTTTAATACTTGAGTAAAATTTAAACAAAAAAATTTCAACCCAAATCAAATTCGGGCAAACTTTAAGTTGTTGAGTATAACCCGAATATACATAAATATATAAATATATTTAACTAGAGTTAATATTTATCTTTACTCTTCAAAGTCCAAACATTCATTTCACTTTAAGTCTTCACTTCTGTGCCTCTATCACTAGAGGTATCAAACGTGTCAGGTTAAACGAGTGACAGGTGAAAAATATGTAAATTCATACACAACACGTTTAATAAACGGGTAAAAAATCTCAACACAAACAGAATCCGTTTAATAAACAGATAACACGACACGACTCGTTTAATCCGTTTAATTTTTAAAAAAATCATATCAATAAATTTTAATACACCACTTCTTTTACTGTCAATTGTATTTACCTCAAAAAAGAGAAATTGTAGTTCAATTTCACATAAAAATCAAATTTGAAGAGTAAAAAAAAAAGCAAGAGGTCATTGTCTTTTATATCAACAAATTTTAATACACTATTTTTTTTATCATCAATGATATTTACTTCAAAATAGAGAAATTTCTAACTAAATTTCGCATAAAAATCAGATTTGAAGGCTAAAAAAAAAAGGGTTTATTTGCCTTTGTCATGAACTGCTCTCATCCCCCTTCTTTGTCTTTGAACTACTGCTTTACTTTACTTTATTTTTTTTCTTATATTGATTTTTTTACCTTTTTTCTTCTAGCTAATTTTTTTAAAATATTTATTTATTTATTATTATGTTAATTTTATTTAAATAGGTAAACGTGTGATCAACAATTTGACATGTCTCACTCGAACACGACCAATTTATTAAATGTGTCTGACGGATCAACCCATTTACCATCCAAACCCCTTAAAATCTCACTCAAATCCGCTTAATTCGTGTAAATTTATCATGTCGTGTCGAATTTTGATCTCTCTCTCACTCGTCTCTCATCTAGTCTCAGACACTCAACCTCTTTCTTTCCCGCGTCTCTCATCTCATCTCAAACTCTCAGCCTCTCTCTCTCACTCATAACTCCTCCCTCTTTTATCAGTCCAAACCCAACCCGATTTTAACTTGACCCCGCGCCAATTAAACTTGGGCAGTACTCGGATTAAATACCTCGGGTTGAGGGTTAGAGTTATAATTAGGGTTAAAAATTATATACTTAGGGTTGAACTAAGATTGACATCTCAACCTGCCCAACTCGCCCGAATTGTACACCTAGTAAAGACATGATCTCGGTTGCTTGATAGAAAGTTAAGTGAAAGAAAAAAATATATTTTTTTTGTATATATTTAGTTAGCATGAAATATGTATAATAAAATTTTTAAAAATGATTTTTCTGTAGTTTGGAAAGTAGGAAATTTATAAGAAAATCTTTTAAATATCAATATTACTCTTATCTATATTAGGGAGATTTGATGAGTTCAAAATCGATTGGACCAGACCCATTAAATCAACTAAGCCTAAGTCAATTGAAAGATAGCTCAAGTCCAGCTTACCAATCCGACCTAGTCCAACATCCAAAAAGTTCGGGAAGATAAGAGTACGTGGGAGAGAGATTATCAGGATATGCACTCATGAAGATCAATCTTACCTTAATTGTACTTACCCAATAAGTAGTGTTCTCTCACTCACGTCACTGCCTCACCAAACTTATATATTGTAAGCTCTCTCCGCATGGAGAGATATCTCTCACAACATACCTCGCTACACCTATACACAGTTTTTCTCTCATAAGCTATTGTACTCTCCCGAAGCTCTATCTCCTGATTACTTTATTCATCAATAAAAACTTCTGGCCATCGCTACAATTTTTTGAAAGTGGAGTAGATCACCCGGACCAAATTATTATTTGTTTGTGTGTTTGCTCGTATTTATTGTTTTGCCTTTGATTATCTTATTTGTTGTCCATTAATTACACATTTTCATATACTCGACTGTTGATTTTGCACGAGACCAATTTGTGCATCATCAAGATTTATATCCAATTGATAATGACTAACATGGGCAAAGTGAATAATCACATATGCTTTTTCAACTTTCACGGGAAAAAATTATTTTTTGATACAATTTGCAGGAAACAATAACTATAGTTTGCTAAAAAATATTGTGGGCTCAGGAATTTAGTTTCTAATATTGTTCAGCATTTATCATGTTAAACAAACACTAAAAAATCAGATTTTATTTTCTCTTTCTGTTAATCTCTCGCTAACCAAACGAATCCAACTTGAAAAATTCTGAACTTAAAACTTAGTCTTAACGTGACTTTCAACCAATATTTTTTTATATAATTTAGATCATAAAAATTAAGATGAAATAGAGTTTTAATTGTTTGGTTGAACCCAAATTAGTAACTTTGGGTTGGGTCTCGAAAATTTCAAAACTATTCGAGTTTAAATGAGATTGATATTTTTTTTCTTTTGTTCCAAACTCAATCTTAAACTTCATACATTACCTTAAAGTAAGATTCTTACGTTGGCACTTCCTTGAACTAAAATAGGGGGAGAGTGAGAGGAAATGGGGCTCCAAATTTCCCATCGACAACAAAGTGATGGCTGAGCCACCAGCCATTGCAACTGTAAGAGGGGCCAAACCAAACCCTCTCAAATCTACAACAAAGAAGTTCTTCTTTGGGAACTTCTAGTCTTCCCATACATCTTTTGGGTCTCCAAGAACTACAAGAGGTGAACCTTCCAATGAAGCACCTAGTGGATAATGAAGATGGTGTTGTGTAATAGTTATAGCGCACATCAGTATTATTATGTGTTATAATCGTTCAATGATAGTTCTGCAAACAGGCAAAGTGAACCCCATTTCTTCTAATAATTTCTGTAAGATAGTAACTACTTCATGTAAAAATGTGAAGTTAACTGTACCTACTTGTTTATTTTTCATCGAAGGATTACATTATGGGATAAGTTTAATGTAGGTGTATAGTATAGATGTTTTGGGGCCAAGGATGAAATGATTGGGCCTTTCAACATAAAGGCCACAAGTGTAAGGCATGCTATAGAAAGTTAGAACCAGAGAGATAAGAGTTTCGGCCCATTACGGTTGGGCCGAAGGCCATTTTTAAATTCTGTACACAAGTCAGAAAAGGAGTTGTCAATAAACACGTGTCTTGTAAGAGGAACCCAACACGGCGTCGTTAGAGGTTCCGTAGATCACAAGCGCGCATGAAAACGACGACGAAGAAACAAACAACACAAGCGAAAGATCAGCGCATGGTGTCGGAAACGCAAAAGAAAGAAACCTCTCCGTGTTGTCGGAACTTGAAATATTTCTGGTTGAGTCTTTCCGATCACTTGTCGCCGGATTCACGTCGGAGGCATCAGACAATATATATAGATATATAAATATATACACATTATATATACATATATAATATATTGTGATTGAACCGGTGGTTGTACGTAGATCGAGAATGGGGGACGGAGGGTGTTGTCCGACAATGGATCTGTTGCGTTCGGAACCGATGCAATTAGTGCAGTTAATCATTCCCATGGAATCTGCTCATCGAAGCATATCGTATTTGGGAGACCTTGGCCTCTTTCAATTCAAAGACGTGAGTTATACGCCTCCTCATCTATAAACATGTAAATAAGTATGTGTATATACCGACATTGATGTGTTTATGTATTATTTCGTGATCTTGATCTAGTGGATGATTGCTTTCTGTGTCTTCAATTTTTTTTCGCCTCTGGTTTATATTTATTGATCTAGTGGCTAGGTTATTATTTATTTTTCCTTCCGCGCATTTGTAATCTGTATTTTTCTCTTCCGAACAATTCTTGTTTAAAAATTTCATAAGGTTTAGGGGCACAAAAATAATTATATTTTTTCTCAATGGGATCTTCTGGTTTTCTTTTGCATTATTAGTGAGTGTTGAGGTTTACGATGAAAATGACTGGTTTTAACGTTAATGTGCATCATGCCTCGAGTGATTCTGCCTGCTAAAACTACAGTTTCAATAGAGATATTGATGTGAAAGTGTGCAAGGTGGGGACTAGCAATTTCGTTTGTGGTGATTCTGTTGGAATGATCATCTTGGCTCATCTATTAGGTGGTGAATTTGTTTTGTTTTTCATTTGCATCAGCAGTTTTGATGCTCTTCTAAATGTACCGGATGATCATCTTGGCTTATCTATTAGGTGGTGAATTTGTTTTGTTTTTAATTTGCATCGGCTGTTTTGATGCTCTTCTAAATGTACCGTTTGACTTCTTGACAGTTCTAATCACTTGCATGTTAGTTAGAAGTAATCCTGGGCTAATCAGACTCTCTTACTATAGACCAGTGTTGAGCATTCCATGTGTTTACATTTTTTCCCCTTGTGAGAGGATTTTCGGGCTATTGATGATGTTTGATTATGATGGTTTCACAATCTGTTGTTTAAATTTGCAATTGTGACATTTATTTTAACTGTCCATTTTTCTAGTTTCCAATTTTGACAAGTATTACAATATCTGGTAACTTTTCTACAGCTCAATGTTGAAAAGAGTCCATTCCAGAGGACATATGCTTCTCAGGTGCATTTTTTGCCACAACTTTATCCTTCTCTAGTTTTTGCATAAATGCTTATGTTTGCATCTTTGGAATCGAATATGAAGAATATATTTGTTTCTAAGAAATAAGATGTATTTCATTTTTGGCTTATTTGCTCTAATTTTACAAACTCCTGGCAGATTTACTTACTAGGTTTCTGGTCTGGCAACATCACTCACAAATTCTCACATTCAATTGTTGTGATTGAAGAAATCCAAACATGGGATGACATATTGCCATTTGTTTTTTGGTGTCATGGAAGATTATGATATTTGATTTTGTTTTCGATTGTCAATATTACTTGCAAGTTCACCAATGGAAAAGCTGAAGAAAAATTATGGTCAAAGAGCATTCAAAAACAAAAACTTCAACATCTATAAGAAAGTCTCTTATCTAAGTTATGCTGAAACATGTGTATGAGTCAAGTCTCCCATCACAAGATGACTGACTTTTCCTATATTATTACCCTGTGCCCAAATTTTTTCCCCTGGAAAGACCATAGCCGGATTAGTGGCTCATCTATGGTAGGCTCTCCCAGCTCTTGTGTAGGCAATACAAGGGTGAAAAGTATGCCATGCGGCAACAGTGTTTTTACAAATGGGAGGAAGGAGAGCAAATTATGAGCAGAGGGAGGGGTGTGTGTTGCCATTATTTCTTTTTACTACCATTTCTCGTGATTGCGATATTGAATAGAACTCGTTTGATTGAATTAAGTTGGATTTCTTGCTTGAGTTTAGTAGATTAATGTATAAAGCTGGCCCACACAAGTGCACTTCGCAGACTGTTTCTCTGTACCGTTTGAATGCCCATGCCTTTAAATGCACACACCCAGAGATAGAAAATGAGCTTAGGGATATTGGAAACCCATACCCTGTTTAAGGTGGTTTCGTGTCTAGGATTCTTCTTTTTCACCTGGCAGGTGTTTCAAACTGAGGGATTGCCTTCCACAAAAGCACAAAGCCTATGTTACCTTCTAATGGTTTCTTAAATCCAGCCTGGCTGCTTGCCTTTAAAAAGACAAAGGAGAAATTCTTATTATCTCCTTTTCTTTGGGAGAAATCCAATCGGTGCTCATGCCATGCTTATTTATTGGGTGTGCCTTATTTAGCAAGACTATTTTTTTTTGTGGTAAAATATTTTATATGTCTCTATTTGTTGGAATAATTTGTTGTTTCAAATGTTTCTGCATTGACCCAAACTATATGTGCTTCCAAAGTTCTTTTGGTAACATCAGAACAACTTGACTGAAACTTACTAAAGGAACTTCTATGCTTCCATACACTAAGAGAAAGCTTCGGCAGTTGAAAGCTCACTGGCTTTTAGATGGAAACATAAAAACACTTCGCAATTTCTCGTATGACTTTGCATTTGATGTAGATGCATGTAATTTCTTTATGTAGATCAAGAGATGTGGAGAGATGGCACGCAAACTACGGTTTTTCAGGGAACAAATGACGAAGGCTGGTTTCTCACCCTCAACAAGGTCTACTATGGACACCGAAATTAACTTGGATGACTTGGAGGTGAGTATTATTTTTGTTATTTGGTAAAAAGTTCTTGATCGTATATGTTTCAACAACATGTGGTATGACTAGGTAAAACTCGGAGAACTTGAAGCTGAGCTAGCGGAGATGAATGCAAACAGTGAAAAGTTACAACGTTCTCATAATGAGCTTTTAGAATATAAGCTTGTTTTGCAGAAGGTAAGTTTGTCCTTCTGGTATGTTGTTTCTGTCAGATAAATTAAGGTAATCGGCCAATACTTTTTCCACTTGTGCCATGTAGCATTGCATTTGTTCTATGTACTTTTACAGTCCTACAAGCTGTGATATGAAATGAACGCTGTCTTATTCAATTCAGGCTGGTGAGTTTTTCCATTCAGCTCAAAGCAGTGCTGCAGATCAGCAGATAGAATTTGAAGCACATCTCTTTGGTGAAGGATCCATTGATAGTCCTCTATTATTGGAGCAAGTACAGTTTTGTAGTTTTCTATCAGTTTTCTTGTCATTAACTGAACATCCGTTACCGAATTTTGCATTGAAACTTTGGCCTTTGGTGATGTGTAGGAAATGTCAACAGATTTTTCTAAACAAGTTAAGCTGGGATATGTCAGTGGTCTTGTTGCAAGAGAAAAGTCCTTGGCTTTTGAAAGGGTTCTATTTCGTGCAACTAGGGGAAACGTGTTCTTAAAGCAAGCTACTGTGGAAGATCCTGTCAAAGATCCTGTGTCAGGAGATAAGGTTACCGTAGTTTTTTTTCCTCTTGTTATCCACAGTTTATATTCTTTTAGGTGGATTTAAACACTTACTTTGTACATGCATGCCGTCTTTTTCCCTTTACTTGGACNAAAGGAACTTCTATGCTTCCATACACTAAGAGAAAGCTTCGGCAGTTGAAAGCTCACTGGCTTTTAGATGGAAACATAAAAACACTTCGCAATTTCTCGTATGACTTTGCATTTGATGTAGATGCATGTAATTTCTTTATGTAGATCAAGAGATGTGGAGAGATGGCACGCAAACTACGGTTTTTCAGGGAACAAATGACGAAGGCTGGTTTCTCACCCTCAACAAGGTCTACTATGGACACCGAAATTAACTTGGATGACTTGGAGGTGAGTATTATTTTTGTTATTTGGTAAAAAGTTCTTGATCGTATATGTTTCAACAACATGTGGTATGACTAGGTAAAACTCGGAGAACTTGAAGCTGAGCTAGCGGAGATGAATGCAAACAGTGAAAAGTTACAACGTTCTCATAATGAGCTTTTAGAATATAAGCTTGTTTTGCAGAAGGTAAGTTTGTCCTTCTGGTATGTTGTTTCTGTCAGATAAATTAAGGTAATCGGCCAATACTTTTTCCACTTGTGCCATGTAGCATTGCATTTGTTCTATGTACTTTTACAGTCCTACAAGCTGTGATATGAAATGAACGCTGTCTTATTCAATTCAGGCTGGTGAGTTTTTCCATTCAGCTCAAAGCAGTGCTGCAGATCAGCAGATAGAATTTGAAGCACATCTCTTTGGTGAAGGATCCATTGATAGTCCTCTATTATTGGAGCAAGTACAGTTTTGTAGTTTTCTATCAGTTTTCTTGTCATTAACTGAACATCCGTTACCGAATTTTGCATTGAAACTTTGGCCTTTGGTGATGTGTAGGAAATGTCAACAGATTTTTCTAAACAAGTTAAGCTGGGATATGTCAGTGGTCTTGTTGCAAGAGAAAAGTCCTTGGCTTTTGAAAGGGTTCTATTTCGTGCAACTAGGGGAAACGTGTTCTTAAAGCAAGCTACTGTGGAAGATCCTGTCAAAGATCCTGTGTCAGGAGATAAGGTTACCGTAGTTTTTTTTCCTCTTGTTATCCACAGTTTATATTCTTTTAGGTGGATTTAAACACTTACTTTGTACATGCATGCCGTCTTTTTCCCTTTACTTGGACTGCGGCTGGTAAGTTTTTCTTTTCCTTTCTCTGCATGTTCCCTTTTTTTTTTTTTGGGTACAATATGATATGCTATGTCTTGTGATGAGATTCTTGTCCCACCTTACCTTTAATAACAGTGTCTAGCATGCATCATATCTCTCACTTGAAGGTTAATTACTTCAACATCTAACTTTATGAATTACTTCTCTTTCTGCTTCATCTGTTGTCTTATTCATTATTATCAATCAAATGTAATCACTATTTGAGGGACTGATAGATGCTAATTTGCAGATCAACAAAAATGTATTTATCGTCTTCTATTCTGGAGAAAGAGCAAAGAACAAAATATTGAAGATTTGTGATGCATTTGGAGCAAATCGTTATCCGTTTACAGATGACCTTGGCAAACAATATCAGATGATTACAGAGGTTAGAATTTTGATCAAAGTGGCTCTTGATTTTACAAAGAAAACTTATTTACTTTCCGAAAGAAAAGGAAAATATATTTCTGATTCTTCTCTTGTGTGGATATTTTATTTGACCTCTGTATTGTTTTTGCTTACAGCTATGACCTCTCCTGTAAGCATAATATTTGTGTTTGTCTGCAACTTGCAGTCAGCTTAGGTTTTAACTGCCAGCATTCTTATTGAATAGATTGATGGGTGCAGTGATGTGTTTATTGTCTTAATTATGTAGGTATCTGGAAAACTTTCGGAGTTGAAGACTACCATTGATGTAGGACTGGTTCACCGGGGCAATCTGCTGCAGACCATTGGTTATCAGTTTGAGCAATGGAACTTTCTGGTTTGTTATGCAATCTTATCTGCAATGTTAAGCTTGTATTAGTGAAACACAAGCACTTGCTTATCCCCCATTTGTGCTTGTCCGTATTTGGGGGGAAATAAATTTTTATTTGGTCTGGGTGTCAAAATCTTATCAAATGACTAAATTTCATCTCTTTCTACTTATAAAGGTGAAGAAGGAGAAATCCATTTACCACACTTTGAATATGCTCAGCATTGATGTGACCAAAAAGTGCCTTGTGGGAGAAGGCTGGTGTCCTGTTTTTGCAACAAATCAGGTAGATTGTTTCAACCTCTCTTATAATTTTGCTAGAGTACATGTAATGTATTCATCTTTCGATCAAATTTAAAGAGACCATTTAACAAGGGTAGGCTTGACTTTGCAGATTCAGAATACACTGCAGAGGGCAACCCTTGACAGCAACTCACAAGTTGGGGCCATCCTCCAGGTTTTGCATACTAAGGAATCACCACCTACCTATTTCCGCACAAACAAAGTCACTTCTGCTTTTCAAGAAATTGTAGATGCATATGGGTGAGTTGCTCTAAGATCCATTTATGATGGCCATTTATAAATGAAACCAACAATATAAAGGAACATTCATAGTTGTGCTAGGTATAGGGTTGTCTTTTCATTTTGATGGTGATGTGATGTATCTGGTCTAGTTAGAAGTCTGGATTTTGGGCTTCTATAAGCAACTTGAAAACCTGATACTAATATCCCTTCGAAATTCTGTTGGAAGTTCAAGGATGTGATGCTCAAAACCCATGCTGTTGTCTTTTTGTATTGGTTTCTTGTTTTAGTTGTTTCCTGATATTACTATACAAGGTATGGAATAGTTTACTTTTGGTGGCAATAGTGGCCACAACTGATGCCAGACAATATGCCCCGTTATATATCATGCTTTCTGAAAATGTTGACTTTTGTGTTATTTAAAATGAGTTCAATGATTTTTCATTTACACAACTTTTGGACTGAAACAAATTTATGGCTCTTAAAAAATCACATTATGGCCAATCAAGCAATAATATAAGTTAACTGACCTTCCTTGGTTGCGAAACAACACCGCATTAAAAATTTGTTGGGGCTAGCCGTTGGTCTTTAAATATGTCCCTCGTGTGGCTTGTCATTGCAGAGAATTATTTCATTTTTTAAAATAGTTTCAAAGCATTCTTATTCAATTCATCTTCTCATGTAATCTATCATAAACTTGCTTATCATTTGATTTTCATCTGTCTATGTCAGAAGAAGTGCATGAGGGCATGCTGCTTTAGTGTTGTTTTTCCCCATTGCACCAGTTGCATATTGTCTTATAGTATCTTAACTGGTTCAAGTGTCATTTTTAAGTTCACACAGTCCTGCAAAGTATTTAATTAATGAAATATTGCAGGGTGGCCAAGTATCAGGAAGCAAATCCTGGTGTTTATACAATTGTTACATTTCCATTCCTTTTTGCCGTCATGTTTGGAGATTGGGGCCATGGTATATGCTTGCTTCTTGCGACATTATACTTCATAATCAGGGAAAAGAGACTTTCCAGTCAGGTAATCACAAATGGTTCTGTTCCATACTTTTGGGGCAACTTGTCTTTCAATTGAAGTATGTCCCATAGCTAGTTACCCATGAATGTAATCTTGACTTCACCGAAACAAAGCATAAATAAATATTGATTTTGCAATTTTATTGAAAAAAAGTGGATAATTGGAACAATTACTTTTTTGTCTCTCTTCCACATTCGTTTCTCTCTTCATCACTCTTTATCTTGAATAAGTTGACAATTTTTGTAATGAGATGTGGTCATGTGTATTGAGTATTATCCACCTCTAGTGTTTACAGCAAGAAGAAACGAAGCTTCTTGGCCTCCCATTGGGTGTGGTATAAACCTCTAATGAACTTTGATGATTTTCACAAGAATAAGAGTTTATAGGAGCAAAATATTGATACGAATTCATTCTCCATGGAAAACATGTATCACATTTGCAAATGCGATATCCTGGCATAAAGATAAGGTAGATCAAAGTTAGAAATCTCAATTTGGTTAAACTAGTATTTCAAATTGAAAGACGTGACAAATATTAAGGTTAATGCCTCTTGAGTTGGGACACTAGTTTAAGTAAAAAGAGATTATTAAATTTGACATACCTTAACTTCGTATCCAGATGCCGCATTTGCAAATGTGATTTATGTTTGCCATGCGGACTTTCATTCTTCATGCACTTATTATGGTGTTCTATCCTCTTTTTACTGTCCTTTTTCTCGGGTGAAAGTGAGAAGTGTGACGCATCAATATGATCATGATAATGGTTTGTAACCATTGTTGGCCAATCTTAGTTCGATGAATGAAGAGAGTCATGTGAAATTTGTAGGATAGGGAAGGTACAAAGCCAGAAAATTTAAGATCAAATGTTAATTCATTATGGATGTATTTGATGTGTGGAGGGCAGATATAACAACAAAGTAAGCCTTGTGCACCTTGGTCATGTAATTTTTTGTTATTTAGGTGGCAAGGTGGCCCTGCATCTCAGTAAGACTTGTTCCTTGAGCCCCGAACAAGGCATGCATCGTCATAGCATAAGCCTGGTCAAGGCATAAGCCTTTATAGCTTTCAGACAAGGTTCAATATTAGTGACTTCCACAGAACGAGTATACCTTCTACAATAATCACCCTTGACACTTCATTTCTTGTTTGAAGGAATAATACTATGGTATTTTCTCTTGCAGGCATCAGAAGGTTGGGTTAGTCTGCAGATCTAGACATATTGAATATTGAGTTTAAGCTTTCCGTTTGATATGTAATCATGCAACTATTAACCAAAAGTTTTTGCTGCTTTTGTTGTATCGCCCAATTTTAGTGGGATGTCCTTTGCCCAATGCATGAGGTTTGTGTCTTAAATTTTTATTTGCTGCCTGACCGACATGTGTATGGATCATCTATCTCCTGGTTAGTGTTTGAGTCTGTATGAGAAAGGCATTACACCCGGTTGTCAAATGTATTTGATACATCAGTGCCACATCTTATTTTTAATCATTGGACTTTTAACCTTGTATCATTTTTCTTTACATAAGCAGTAAGTTACAGTTCATCTAATTTTGTGGAGAACAGAAGCTTGGGGACATCATGGAGATGACATTTGGTGGTCGTTATATAATTATGATGATGGCACTATTCTCAATATACACAGGACTAATATACAATGAATTTTTTTCCATGCCATTTGAATTATTTGGACGCTCAGCTTACGATTGCCGTGATCCTTCCTGCGGGTATTGAACTAGTACTTCAAATATGTTATATCATTTTTTACCCATTGCATTCTATTTTCACTAACATGGGTTTGTTGCAGGGATGCTTCAACAGTGGGGTTGATTATGGTGCGTGACACTTATCCATTTGGCGTGGATCCTAAGTGGCATGGTACCCGCAGTGAGTTACCATTCCTTAATTCATTGAAGATGAAGATGTCAATCCTACTGGGAGTAGCTCAAATGAATCTTGGAATTATTTTGAGCTATTTTAATGCAAAATTCTTTGCAAGTGACATAAATATCTGGTAAGCTACACAGTTTGATCGGACTCTTGCATGCTTACATATGTAGAGGTCAGTCAGTGCATCGAATAGTCCACTAAATTGTGTCTACATCTCACATGCATTCTAAGTTGCCCAACTTGGAGCTTGTTTAATAATGTTAACTTTGCCAGTCCATGTAATCAGCATTAATTATGCATTGCTTCAGGTATCAATTTGTTCCCCAGATGATATTTTTAAACAGCCTGTTTGGGTACCTGTCGCTCCTCATTATTGTGAAATGGTGCACTGGTTCTCAAGCTGATTTGTACCATGTAATGATATACATGTTCCTGAGTCCTACTGATGATTTGGGCGAGAATCAGCTTTTCACAGGCCAGAAATTCCTTCAGGTTTTATTTCCTGTCTATTAGAGTTTAATTTGTATGCGGTACTAGAATTTGTAACTGATGTCAAGCATGTCCTTTGCTTTATTGCTAGATTGTCTTACTATTGCTGGCACTTGTTGCGGTACCATGGATGCTGTTTCCAAAGCCATTTCTATTGAAAAAGCAACACCAGGAAGTATGTTCAGATGTTACGCATGTGGTTTTATTGTCATATCACTGGTTTATTTGCAGCTTTTTTTCTTCTTCTTTAATTTTTGTTAATTACCATGTGGTACTTTCTCAGAGACACCGAGGTCAATCCTACACACCGCTTCACATCACTGATGATTTTGAATTGGAGTCACATAATGATGCACATGGCCATGAGGAATTCGAGTTCAGTGAAGTTTTTGTACATCAACTTATACATACCATAGAGTTTGTACTCGGAGCAGTCTCTAATACAGCTTCATACCTACGTCTATGGGCCCTCAGGTACTTTAAGCTTAAAGTTTGAAACCTATTCACCCGCTTCCCCCTCCCCCTCTAGGTAGTGTCTTGCAATCCACGTAGTTAGCCAGTGACTTCATATTATTTCCTGGGGATTTCTAGGTTGTATTTCACATGTGTGCACTAAAGTGAGTGTGTGCATCAGAGCTCATAACTATCTTGCGTCGTATTATTTAGAATACAGGCATTAGAGAATGAATAAAAAACTCTATAAATTGATGTTATGAACTTATAGAAATATGTGTGTGCACAAATTGATTGGTTGTTTTTTGTTTTTGTTCAGTCTAGCACATTCAGAGTTGTCTAGTGTATTCTATGAGAAGGTTCTCCTGCTTGCCTGGGGGTAATGTCTTCTTTCTTTGTTCTTTTTTTTTTCCGCTAAAAAAATGCTGCAGTGAGATTAACAAACTTAAACGAAGAGTGCTGTCTTTTTTGTGACTTCAGGTTCAACAATGTCGTTATCCTTATTGTTGGCATTGTTGTATTTATTTGTGCAACGGTTGGTGTACTGCTAGTGATGGAAACCCTAAGTGCATTCCTACATGCCTTACGACTACACTGGGTGGAATTTCAGAGCAAGTTCTACGAGGGAGATGGTTACAAATTCTACCCCTTCTCGTTTACACTAATTACTGAGGATGAGGAATAACAGTTTTTGAAGCTTTTGTCATTGACAATAATTGTTTTAAAGGTTTGATTATTAGTTTATTCGATTCTTTCACGTGGACGAGAGAGAGAGAGGTGTTTGGAAATGCAACAGAGGGAAAATGCTTATGAAGTGTGGGGGAAATGGGTTCTCTCTCGAATCTTACACGTTTTCGTTTTCCATAATGTTATTGTTTGTCTGTTGGAATAAGGATTTGTTAGCAGTCAAAGCTTCTAATTGTCTCTCATTGATGTTGGTTCTTCGTTCTGATTCTCATCGGCCATTCCTGTTGTTTATTGTAAGAAACATCGTATAATGTTTCGGCATCCTGGTGATTTGAAAGGAGGTGTTGGTGAATTTGATGCACCTCACAGCTTGAAAAACTTCCAAATCATCATTGACTAATTCATAATTCTGGATTAAACATCTGTAACACTTCATTTTATTGTTTTGTGAATAAAATTATTCAGTTTGTTGCTATAAAAACCCGATGAAAAATTGTTCACTGAATTCCTATGGAATTAGAGAGTTTTTCACTTGATGTTGTAAACGTCTAGATTGAAAACGTTTTTAATTTAAAGAAGACCTATGAGTGATTAGTTTAGTCAAGAGAGAAAGAAATTCTTCATGTTAATATACTTGAATAGATTGAATTAGAATTAATTTGAGCTAGACTTGAATTCAACTGTCAAATTGAGAATGACAAGTAGGGATATTAATCGAAACGAACTTAAGTTTGAGTCCGCTTGTTTTTTCAAACATGTTTAAAAAATTATTCAAGTTCAATTTGTTTTGAACTTGAGTTAAATCTGAGTAGTTTGACTATTTTATATATAAAATTTTTAGGCTTGTTTTTTTAAAAAAACATAAAAAATTATTTAAGCTTAGCTCATTTAGAATACGAGTAGAACTCGAATCGAGCCTTATCCGAACCGACACTGAGTAGTTCGGCTCGATTAAAACCCTTAATAACAAGATTCGAATACAAACGTGGGATTGCCACCCTTATTATGAAAATATAACATGAACAATCCAGTTTTGACATGATTATAGAACCCTTGAGAACATAGAAGGGTATATTATTGCAAGACACACTCGATCAAACCAACCACAATATACAGACTCCATAATGCAGAGATTTCATATATAATCTACTGATCAGTAGCAGTGTGCACAGCAGACACAGTAGAGACCATGGAATCCATACCGCAACGATTGTGACCTTTGCAGATCTTGTAGTAACCACTCTCTCCCCAATCCACTCCCCACGAGTTCTTTATGATCCAATATGGCTTCTTCGTCAACCTATAATGGGCATAATCAGCAGCTCCATACCCTACCAGAAGTACCCCGTGATTCATATGCTTCGAGCAAATGTAAGGACATGAAATTCCATCCAAGTACGTCGCCATGAAAAACGAATTGATTCCCACTGCACGCAGACACACATACACACACTAGAATTAGTTTTGTTAAACCACTGTCGACTCCAAAAACTTTAAGCCGATAAAAATGAAATAACATATGCATTTCACTTCACGTGTAGCTTAGCTTCTCGAGTGGTCTATCCACATTTTTGTATTTGTAACAAAGAAAAGCCGTTACTTAGGGTCTTTAAACCACCAATCCATCCAAAAGCTCTCTAGATGTCAGGGAGTCTCACTTAAATATTATTTTTCAAGGCATTCTAGGCTTAGCACGTGAACTTTTTTAATCATTAGAGTGACGACAATATTATTTTTTATATCTCAACTGTTTCAATAGATTATTGCAGTGCTGTATAACCCGCTCACGTATTGAACTAATGTCGGATCTTGTATAAAATCGCCTCTCAATATAAAAGGATAAATTTATGAGCAATGACTCTAAGGGTAAAAGGGTTACGCTCCGTGGAATATTCGAATCTCTGACCTACTTTTAGAGCAACTTCAACTTTGCTCGCCAAAATAACTACTCAAAATATATTTAAATATTTTATTCTCTATTTTAACTATTCACTTTTTTAAATTCATTTCAACCACGTTCTCTATATTAGCTGACTACTTCAATTAACTTTAATTAATTTTCAATAATATAATACAAAAATTCAACTCAAAACATATATAATCATCAACCCAACCAAAATCATACCATAATAATAATTATAATTAAACTTTAAATAATACGTCTTAAAGAAAATTTAACACTCATCAACTTTAAATAACAAAAATCAATTGTCCAATACGTCTCATAAATTTAAGATTTTTTCAAATAGTTACATTAATATTTCATAGGGGTCTAAAGGTAAATATTCAAAATTTGGGTGGGGGTTTCAAAATTTATTGGGGGATTTTTCAAAATTTGGGGGGAGGTTTCAAAATTTATTGGGGATTTTCAAGATTTGTTTTGGGGGGGTTTTCAAATTTGGAGGGAATTTTCAAAATTTATTGGGGGTTTTCAAAATTTATTTGGGAGGTTTTCAGAATTTGGGGGAGGGGAGATTCACTCATCTGGGTTCTTCCACTTTGAAGCCACAGAGAGAGAGAAAGATCCATACCCCCATCCATATAGTGGTCGGCCGTATTGGAAAGTGATGATGGAGGAGGAAGGAAGACATACCGGAAGGAGAAAATGGAAGGAAGGCAATGTGTCGTTGTGCATAAATGAAAAAAAGGCAACAACTGGCGAGTGGATTGCCCTCTCCAGATCTGGCGAGTAATTTGGCTTCCTAGATTTGGCGAGCTCAATAGCTAGGGAGTTGGAAGACACGATTTTGGAATTTTGCTCGCTAAAATGACTAAAAGGCTGCACCGGCGAGGGGCGTTGGAGATGCTCTTAGGAGAGGTTTATCAGTGGCTGTGGCTGAACTACCACTAGACTAACTATTGGGGTTGATGATATTCAAAAACAGAGTTACCATTCTCACATTACCTTAAACTACTATCTATTCTAAAAATTTAAACGGATGGGTAATATAAGCATTTAATTTTTTGTTTTCTCATCACCCATGTTGAATGATCATCAGATAAATTTCAGATGAGGCAATAAAAAAATGTATATATCTACCTGCAAGAGGGCCATTCTTCACAAGATTTGCAGCAATTTGAGCTTCGTCTTTGGAAATGACACTGAAGTTAGATACTGAGGCGGCAATTTTGCTCTTGTCGAATTTGCAGGTACCACCATCAGTCCCATTGTAGGGATAATCTCTCTCTCGTACAAGCCCACCAGCCTTGAGTGTGTACTCGAAGGCAGTGTTCATCTGCCCACCCTGACATCCCTTATCACATGCACCTTTTACTTCTGGATCGCACTGTAAATATTAATTAGAAGCTTGAAATTTTAGTATAAACATATTGATTTTAGCGATTCAACATTCAAAATGATTTAGCTTGTGGTGTTGTGGCGACGGACTCAACTATTCCAAGTCAATTGCTATGGCTCAAATACCGTGTAATGTCTTAGATTGCTACACCCGGCAACCCTGACTTCCTAAAATTTTAGTATAAACAAATTGATTTTAGCTATTCAACATTCAAAATGATTTAGCTTGCCCTCTATGGTGTTGTGGTGACAGCCTAATCGTCAATCACTATGATTCAAATTGTAACGTCTTGGATTGCTATGCCCGGTAGCCCTGACTACCTTTTTCTAATAGCAAAAAAAAGATATTCAAAATTCAAGGCGAAGAACGATTTCAAACCTCATGGTCACAATCCACAAGCTGTTGCTCACTGAGGCTAACGAGCTCTCCGGTCGCCAGAAAATGAGCTCCTTCTAGAGCTCCGGTAGTACTAAACGCCCAGCATGATCCACAATAGACCTAAAAATTTCCCCAAATTCAGCCAACAACAAGAAGATATCGACATGAAAAACAACTGAGCATCACTGATAAACCATTGGACGGATCTAAGAGCTTAGTCTGGATTTCAAAATTTCTGAAATATTAGGGCAATACAATATACTACCTGATATTTGACGTCAGTGACGGCTCCATGATCACGCCAGTCAAAGTCGGTCGGAAGGTTATCCGTCGGTAAAATGGGAGCATTATGAGCGTCGACGGGAAACTTAAGTGGACGATTACTATCCGCATTGAGTCCGAGATACTTCCGGCGAAACTCCGCCGGAGTCATATCGGAGAATTTGGTGACGCCGTGTCTTGCAGTGGGATCGAGAAGTTGGTTACGCTTGGCTCGGCGCAAGTTATCTTTGAAAACATTGAATCTATGATCGTGCTCCCCTTGAGTGGCGTAGTTCCTGCCATACTTTCTTTTAAAGTGCGAGAACTGATGCTCGGCGTTCAACAGAGGATCGTCGCCGTCCGATACAACTTGACGAATCAACAGATCATCGGAGAAGAAATCTTCGTCTGTTGTAGTGGACCTTACTGTAGAGAATAACAGCAAGATTGTGAGAATGGATGACAGAGAGAGACGATCCATGAAGAGAGAGAGAGAGAGAGAGAGAGAGTGAGTGAGAGTGAATGAATGAGGCTTTCTGGTTTTGGCTCACTATAATAATGAGGTACTTGAATTTGGTTGGTAGGAGGTTGGTTGACAAGATAATATTGACATGTGTCATACTTCTATGGGAGATTTTATTTACACGTTAAACGTGTGAAGTGGAAGACAAGACAAAAGGAGTTCAAATAACTTAAAATTTTTTAATCGGATCTATTATTTTATTTGATATATAAATTTAATTTCGTATTAATTTTAAAAATATATATTAATTGTATATTTATTATATATTTTTTATATTATAGACCTGTATTGTGGAGATATTTTAATATCACCAGGAGAGATGATATTATAATCCAACTCAAAAATATTATTGATTAAGAATATTTTTGTTAATTCAATATTAATATAGTAAAATAATTCATTAACCAAACAATGATTTGAACTAAATAACTACTATCCAACATTTATGTTATATATTATCAAATATTAGATAAAATTACGTATTACTCTAATATCACATTTAATCTTATTTTTTGTCCATTTGTATTGTATTAGATTAAATTATTTTATTTAATCTATTTATTTCTAATACGACAAATAAACGAGCTCTAAGTGATACACCAGCACTAATAGTCAATCCATGACCATTTGGGTTTGAATTTTGGCAAATTTTTGGGGCTATCATCTTTTGGACGAGTGTTGGATATTAGAGTCTCACTGAAAAAGTTGATAGAACTTACTCATCAAGAGATAATATATATTTGAGTTACAATTTTTTAAATTTTATTTGAATTTTATAGTATTACTCCTTGTGAATACCCTAGTTATAATATGGGTGATCTATTTTTGATCAGATTGAGGTATAGATTGATCTAGATGTACATAAATTGGTCCAAAAACCTTAACCGTTGAAAAAAAAAAAAGACAAGAGAAAGATGGTTTTTTTTCTCAGCGGTGTGGATTTTACATCTTGATCTTGTTTCATTATCTAAGTTATTTTATTTTACTAAAAATAATCCAAATAATTAGATATAAATATAGTAAAATAAAATCTGATAAATGTAGATGATAATATAATAATCTAACCCCATAGGTAATTTAATGGTGTGGGATTAGACTTGGACAAATCGTATATTCAAACGCCAGGGGGTTTAACCTTTGTTAGTGTCTTTCAAATTTAACTAGTACATGTAATTTATAAGTTGTAAGTGAAAACATGTTATATTGTCCAAATTAAAACTCAAACCTTACATGTCAAATATATGTGCACAACTTCAATTTAACTTCTCATTGGTTGGGGTTGAAAAGAGGGAGTCTAAGCGGAGTAAAGGACAACAAAATAAACAAAAATGGAAAACAAAGTTCACAAACTTATCTTTGAGATAAATGACACATAATATTAATAGCTCTCTCTCCAACAATTGTTGACAATTACTAAAAGACACTTTTTTTTTGGTTTTGGATTTGTGTTTTGTTTGGTACTTCGTGATGTTGATGTGTACATAAATTAATTCAAATATCCCTTGACATAATACAAAAAATAAAAATAATCAAACACTCAGATGCATGGTCTAAGAGGTTATGAGGTTTCAAGTTGAATCTACTAAGAAGCACTCAAATTAACTCAATACGCCTTATTTATAGACAATTACAATTTGCATACTTATACAAATTTATACTTTGAAAATAGGGTTTTTTTTTTGTGTGGGTACATTTTTTTAGATTTATTTGAGAGGAAATGTATAGATAAGTATTTTACCATATTATTTTCAATTTTAATAAAATATTTTGTGATTAGGTATAAAATTCAAATGATATTTGAATTTTTTTACTTACTTACCATTCTTTAAATTATACATAATTTTTATTCTTTCCATCTCTTTATCTCTCCCTCTTTCCTATTTTCTCTCTCTATCTCCTATTGATAATTTATTTTATTTTTAATTATATAAATATTTGATTTGATTTGATATTTTTATCTCTTTCTCCTCTATTTTTTTTCTCTGTCCTTATATCAACGTTACAACGATACAGTTACACCAATCAGTTACAATTACTTTTATAGTACACTAAACGGTTACTCATGTGTTCTAATAAATCAAACAATTATATTAAACAATTATACGAAATTAGAACACCAATCCAATTTATCATTCAGTTGTTTATATAAATCAAAAAGTTACACCATTTAATATCACGACATAGTTACACCAATAAGATACACAAAATTTGGCATAATTGTAAAATCTTTTATGTAACGATAAACCCAATTTGGTGTAACCATGTCTTAATACTAAATGGTGTAACTATTTGATTTATATAAACAACTGAATGAGAAATTGAGTTGGTGTTGTAATTTCGTGTAATTGTTTAGTATAACTATTTGGTTTATTAGAATATATGAGTAACTTTTTGGTATATTATATGATAATTATAATTAATTGGTGTAACTAATTAGTGCAATTGTATTGTTGTAACATTAATATAAAGAGAGAAAAAGTAATAATGAGATAAAATAGGAGGAGAGGGAGAAAAAAATAAGGGAGAGAGATGAAAAAATTAAATCAAATCTTTACATATTTGAAAAAAAAATAAAAAAGTGAGAGAGAAATACATAGAGAGAAAATATGAAAGAGAGAGTGAGAGAGAGAGAATTGGAGAGAAAGTAATGAAGTAATAAATGACCTTTTAATCTTTTTTCAAAAATAAGCACTTATGGTCAAATAAGTTTCTTTAATATAGTTTAGTTTAATTAAGTCCAAATTTTTGTATCGATTTTCAAATTTTTTTTTAAAAATATCTCTGACTTGGTCCCTTCTCTAATTATAGACGGGCTACTTTTTTGTCCTTTACATTTATTTTTGGGCCTACAAAAATAAAGATTTTAGGTCCGCCCTATCCAACTCTTTTTTTTTTTTTTTGAACTGCCCCATCCAACTCTTTACCTATATTATTTCTAATAATGCTATGCCCTCCGAATAAGTATATCAAAACCTTTATACCAAATGAGATATCATAGTTAACAACATTGATTATTTAGGATTCACTTATCTTATGGTAGCAATGTCTCACTTCATTTGGTAAAGATATATTGGTATATTTTTTAGTAAGCAAAACATTTCTCTTACTTCCATAGATTTGATGATCTAAGAGTACCAAACTTGTCAAATAAATGGGTTGGGATGAATGTCTGTCTAAATGTAACAAAATTGTGTTATATATGTTATGAACCCGATATAATGTGATTAAATAAATATTTAACACTATATAATTATAAAAAATAATATTATTGGGACATAACTTGCAGACATAATAAGTTTTCACTAATAGAATGATAGTGAATTTATTTAATGCTAAAATAGGACCCATCATTAAGTGTATTTTATTAGTGACAAACTCATTATATCCTTAAATTATGTCTCTCAATTATGTTTCAATAGAATTAGTGAACTATAAAACTATACAAAACCGTATTTTTGTGGAAGTGTATTCCATACAATTTCCAAAGCCCAAAACTGAAAAAAGCATGGTGCAAATGTCTATTTAGAAAGGATAGGTTAGTAAAGAAAGGCCCAATTCACAGAAACGAAGGGACAAGTAGAAAGATGTGAAAATTGGAGGTGAGTCTCCATAAATGTATCCATAAATGTATTAGTTTGAAAATAAGTCTCGAAGAAAATTTATAAGGGATTAAGTCTGTGTTTAAAATTATATGTAATAACTTAAGTGTATTTTTTTTTTAATTTCAAAAATACCCTTCTTTGAAAGAAAGTTAATCTTTTCTCTCTCATATCTATATATATCCATATATATGTTAAGAATTTGACTAACATTAAAATTTTTCCTCACATATATATATATAGTAACATTAAAAAAAATAGAAACATGCAAATACAAAAAAAAGTTACTATGAATTTGAATAATAAAATTTAAATTCATTTTACTATTTTTTTTATTATATTACTGCTTTTGTTGAGTATGTTACTGTTCATGTTACTATTATTTTTGAGCATGTTACTGTTTTTGTTGACCATGTTACTACTATTATTTTCCTAAATATTAATATTCAATGTTACTATTTTTTTTTTAATATTATTATTTTTTGTATTTGAATGATACTATTTTTTGCGTTTGAATTTGAGATAAATAATTATTACAGTTTTTATTAAGCATGTTATTATTTTTGTTGACCATGTAACTGTTGTTATTTTTTAAAAATATTAATATTGAATGTTTAAATTTTTTTTATGTTTAAATGTTATTAATTTTTTGTGTTTAAATGTACTATTTTTTGTATCCAAATGATAACTTCTTTTTGTATTTGAATGTTATTATTTTTTATTTTTAATGTGATTATATATATATATATATAAATATAGATTGATACGAGAGAGGAGAAATTTTAATATTAGTCAAACTCTTAACCTATATTTAAATATAGATTGATACGAAAGAGAAAAAATTTTAATATTAGTCAAATTTTTAAGATTTAGGAGTTTTTAATTTTTAGTTTTATTCCTCTTCTAAAGGAAAGAAATAATATGATAAAATTGATAAAAAAATAACTTTATAACAAATAAATTTTCTTAACGGATTTAAGTTCAAGTAGGGAGTTCGCCTCCAAATTTTCCTAAAAAGATTTTAGACCCATGATTGATTTGTTATGGGCCGAATCCACGGTCCATTAAAGGAATCAAGGGCGGTGCAACACTGCGTGAGCCTGACCGCGATTGACTTCTTCAGTTGTCGTCTTCGTGACTGGTTTGGTCGTTATAAACACCACCGTCCTCGAAATAGGAGACAGAACCTACACAGTAAGGAGAGAGAGAGAGCAAAAATGGAGGAAGAACTGACCAACCGCAGTGATGGTAACAGTAGCAATTTGGATACCGGTAAGGCGGAGAGGTCGGTGTGGCTGATGAAGTGCCCACTGGTGTTGTCCAAGTCATGGCAGTCCCATGCTTTGTCCTCCGACTCTCAATCTGTCGCCAAGCTTCTCGTCTCTCTCGATCCTCTCCGTTCCGAAGACGACTTCGCCCTCCAGGTACCCCTCTTCTCCGCTCACGCTCACTCAAATAGTCACATGTGTCTAGTTCCGTATATATGTTCTTAATTACTTATTGCAATTTGTTTGATAATCGCCCATATGTATGACAAGCTTGTTTGATTCGATTCGGAATTTGTCATAAGAATAGAATACTGATCTATAGCCAACGATTTTTGTAAAAACAATGCTGTGAATGAGGATAATTATCTCGAATCTCTATGCTTGTTGAATTTCGTGATGCTGGCTAGCTATGTGATATTGTCTTTATAGACCATTTTTCAGTTATTTATATGTTGAAATCACTGGCGATATTTATCTGTTTCTACTTTGTCAATTTGTGCTTTCATTGTGTCTTTAGCAGGAGTAAGTTTTTAGGCTGAGTGAGGGTTGATGGAGGTAGTGGAACTCCAGTTCTTCAAACTTTTCCTCTCTGCCTTTTGCTCATTGGTTAACTAGAAGATTAACAATGTATGTGTCTATGTTTCGTGGCTAATATACAACACTTTATACGTCCTTTCTATTACTAACATGCGTGACTTGTGAAGATTCATATTTGAATTTAGTCCTCAAACTGTGTCAATTGAGCTTAACCTAATGAATGCTTTAGAGCTGTCATAGCTTGGATCACTGTTAGCTAGGAGTTTATGCATAATTTTACCTGATTAGACTCCTTTAATCTACCTATTAACATGCAGCCTGCAGTGTTAGTGTTACTGTTATACTCAATCAGATGGGAGTTTCATTAGATGTAACGACATATTCAAAAATGAGTAACAATTAATTTTTTTGTGTAGCACGGGGGCCATGTCTCCCGAGCGATCATGGTACGGCCCATGTTACATTGCTGTGCTTACATGTAATCTAACTCGTTCACAAACCAGTGAGTTCCGTGCTATATTTGTGATATTTCTCTAGAAAGCGTAGTTTGTTTTTGAGTAGTCCACAATTGTGAAAAGAAATATTTTACATTGTAGGATTGGTTGCAATTGAAGGGAAAGTGGAACATGAGTTTGATATGAAGCCTCATAATGAGAACATGGAGGAGTACAGAAAAATGTGCCATGAAAGGACAAATAAATCAATGATTAAGAATCGACAAATACAGGTACCGAATGTCACCGTTAATTTATTTATTTATTACATTGCCTGTCTGTGTTTGATTTGATTGTTATGGAAAAATTTGAACCATCGTTCCCGTTAACTATTTAACAGGTGATTGACAATGACCGTGGAGTGCATATGCGGCGTATGCCTGTAATGGTTGGCTTGATATCATCCAAGTTGAGAATGTTCTGCTCATCTGTCTGATATATGTTTTTTTTAAGTTACTATGTCTTTAGGAGTTCATGATGATTTTTTAACGTGCCTATCACCCACACTCCTGGTCTAAGAGCATCTTAATGGGTCAATGGCACTTTCGGCTCATTCACTTCTCAAGCTGCCACATTCCTTGGTGGTAGAATTGGGGTAGCCTTGAATAGAAAGCCTGTCAGAGGGACTTTGCTTTAGTCTGGTCTTGAGTTAAAAGAAGAAAGGTATTGCTTAAACCCCATAAGATTTCTATTTTTCTATAATACGTTTTATTGTGTGATGATATGAATGGTTTAATCTTGTAATGATCATATTCTAACGAAGTTTGCTTGTTCAATATCTCAGCTCAAGTAAAACTAACCTTTTTTCCCAACTATTTGGGATAGGCTACCTTAATTCTTCTCCATCATTGAGTTTTGTCAAGGGCTTTATATTTTTGTCAAACCACGAGCTATCATATCATTTTATTTAATATCTCATTCAAAATTAATTTCAGTAAACCTCTATATTTCTTATTACCATCATTATTCATCACTAGTGCAGTAATACGCCTTCTATAATCATTTCCAAACAACCTAAGTTAATTCTCTCTTGATTTATTTCCTATTGTTACTACTTTTACTGTTTTATGAATATACTCATTCGTAATTCTTCGCAACCATCATGAAATCCTCATTTTCATCGCACTTAGATTTGGAGTGTGTTTCTTAAGTGGCCACATTTTGTACCATAAAACATGTTGTTTTAATGACTATCTCTAGAACTTCAGCTACTTAATGTATACATATATTAGATATGTAAATGGATTACCTTCCTATATCCTTATATTTCCCTCCTAAGTAAGCATGTTTATACGTATTTATGCACGAATATGGCCCGTGTTTGTTCTTTTAACATGAAATATGCAAGAGCATGTGCTTAGAATTATAAACACACAAATCAACCATCTGTGTCCAGGATAAGAAGAAAACAGTTCTGGTTAAGGTATCAGACATAAAACGAACCAGAAGGGACTGTGAGAAGCTGGAGGATATCATTTTTAAGCTTTTTGAAAGGCAGCCTAATTGGACCTTAAAGCAGCTAGTCCAAGAGACTGATCAACCTGTGGTATATCCTTTAATTACTAGTGCTTTGTGCGTTATGTTAGCAGCTATTGGTTAATTATATATCCTGAAGTTGTATATAGAAGAATTAAGTAATAATGTTGAACACGCTGAGGCAGAGTCTTTACCTTGTTCTAGCTCACAAAATATAGTATCCTCTCATAATGTTCATATCATACAGGTTGATCACATGTTACCATTTATGCTGTGATTAATGATACTTGACTATGTTTTAACTTGTGAAGAATTTTTGGGTGTTTTACTTATCTATTTATTATGTCTCTTGCAGCAATTTCTGAAAGAGATACTGAACGAACTCTGTGTGTACACTAAGATGGGAACAACCCAAGGAACATGAGCTTAAGCCAGAGTATAGAAAATCTGTGAAGGATGCAGGTGCTGAATAAATTATCTCTTTCTCTGACTGTATATTTTTTTGGCATCTTCTCTGGCTGTATATTAGATTGCACATTAGAGTAATATTTATTGAGAAAGGAGTAGTTATCTTCCTGTCCTTTATAAATCAATATATTGCAATGACTCACTATCCTACTTGAGAAATGGTGGAGATGTATGAAAGACGCATATAGTTCTATACTCTTGCATTTTGAATGTATGTTATTTTGGCATACAGTTTTATTGCTTAACTGACGAGTTCTTCCATTTTGCTCTAGCTAACTTGCAAAGAGTTAAACCTTTTCTTTTCACCTATGGTTTTACTAGCTTTAGAAGTGTCAAACCTCTTTGATATTTCCTTTCTTGTCTTGCCGATATTTATTGCATCTGAGAAGTTCAAGCCTTGTAGCTTTCAATGACTACAATATGTACAAAGACCTTAGAAATCAGAATCATAACAATTCCCAAAAATCAAAAAAAAAAAAGAAAAAAAACATTTCATATTTTGTTCATTTCTTTGCTCATGTAATTCCTGTCGAAGCATAGGAAAACATGATTGACTAAGCAAGAACTAAGAAATTTCTGTTAAATCAAAAACGGTTTCTACATGGATTAGGACTGGCAACACATTTTGTAATTCTAATGCAATACACCCTGATCACTAAGAAATTATAATGCTCAACCATGCTATTCACTGAATTTTGTCATAATGTCATTCATATATGGTGGGCGAAACAGGTAAATATGATACACCTGAACATTTGATAAGATCAGGTGCTGCAATACCTAGTGAACCATCCAAAATATTTGTACCATTTGAGTCAGTATTAAGATAAATACTTTTATACGCAACAAAGCTATCTTCAAAGCTTCCACATACAAGGCCCGCAGTCAATTTTGAACATGAATGCCAAATCATTAAGCTACTCAAAATACTTGGAGCTTCATTCCATATTTTAATAGATTCCACGTTGCTTTAGCCTGGCAAGAGATTACGATTGCTTGATAACTTAAGCTTGAACAACCAAGCTCTGCATTTCTTGAGCAAGATGAGCAGTTGACGTAATCATCATATGTGCACTTAGGAAGCACGGATACGGATACGGTTATCGTATTCGGTACGATACGGATATGGAGATACAACAAAATTAAAAAATATGGGACACGAGTACAGTAAGGATATGACTATTAAAATAATATAATATATTTTTTAAATAATAATAGAATTGTAATATATTAAAAATAAGGAATATTATAACAATATTAATAATAAGACTTAGCAAATATTATTTTTTTGATTTAAATTAAAATAGATCAAATTAAATATCTACTATTTTCATAAAACATCAGTGCATCTAAATTAACATTCATAGTATAAAAGTTACGTAGCAAAAAATATATTAAAAAAAGTAAATTTTTAATAGTTAAAAGTTATTTTTTTTAATAAAAAAATTCTTAGCCGTGTTCTGGCCGTATCCTAGACATATCCTAACCGTGTCTTAGTCGTATCATTGCCGTGTCTGGCTGAGTTTACTATTCAAGACATTTCTCGCCATGTCAAACACGTGTCCGACCGTGTCCGTTTTGGACACGTGTCCATTACTGCCACGACAGCCCTGTGAGAAGTATCCATGCTTCCTAACTGTGCATACATATCTTCTCCTTATTCTATTTTTTTTTCTCCTTTTAATGGACACACAAGTATTTTAAAGTTAAAAAAATATAGATAATTAAAATCTCAAGGGAACCAATGAGGCTTGAATGTTACTTGGATCATGAATCGATTTGGTATGTGGTATTGGTATAGGTATGTGGTTCGATACTTCTTGCAATACGTGGTACAATGGAAGTAGATTTAGTTGGTACGTTGTTTTAGGTCCTGGTTCGTTTTATAACTTCTATATAGAATAATATATCTATATACACATAGTTAATAAATATTTATTTTATATTTCTGAAAAAATATTGTCAAAATATGAGTTTAGAGAACACTAAAATAAAGAAATAATAAGTTAGAGTTATGATTTGAAGTTGAGGTCATAGTTACTAGAAGTCAGTATGCCCCCAACGAACCACGATTTGGGTACATCGGTCCCAAACGGGGTTGGTTCGCAATCCAGATCACTAAAATGTACAAACCCAAATTGTACATGTACCACAAATATAAATACATATTAATTAACTACGTGTATATAGATTTGTAATTATATATTATTTTAAATAATAAAAAATCGAGCCCAAATATATGCTAAATAGTAACTGACTTAGTATTAATTGATGTTTTATAATATATAATATTGTATAGTGATGAAAATGATCTAGATAACACTTCCAAAACGAATTGTGATTTAAAATATCGTAGCAGTTAAACCTACTTCCAACGTACCGCGTACCTAAGAAAGTATCGTACTGTGTATCTGTACCTATGTTGCGTACCAAAGCGACCCACGATCTAAGTAACATTGATTGAGATTACAATGTGAGATTACTTAAATCATGAGTCAATTTGAGATTTGTGTTATAATTTGGAGTCAGAACTTTGAGTGATCTAGATTGCAAACCCACTCTATTTCGGGTCGTGTGACCCCAGTTTGTGGGATGATAGGTGTATCTACGATCCTGGTATTTAACAAAGCATTTGCTAAATGTCCTCGTGCATTTCAATTACTTACTAGAATCACATGGATATGAGCTCCGGATTTCACTCTTGGTTACTCAATACCCACTTTTTACATTTGAAAGCATGAACAAGCAAAAGTTTAATTAACCTAGAGCAGCTAATCCTGAGTGAAGTACTTCAGCTTGTGCCAATCATGAATAGGGCCACATCTCTCTCTCTCTCTCTCTCTCTCTCTCTCTCGGGCACATACACACTTATCCACAATCATATTCCTATTCTATGAAAAATTGCCGGTTGTAAGGTTTTTATGTTTTGGTTGTGTATACACACTTATTTTCATTTTGAAACAAAATTTACTATGTATGGTCAGTGCACATGTCTAGATAGTGCCAGAGAGTCATGTACTATACCAACTTTAGATTTGAAGACGAGTACTCATAAAAGGGCTCATGCTTCATAGGTGGAAGTGGGTTAGTGACATACGGTCAAATAGAACTTGAGTGATTAACATATTACTTTCATTTACCATTTGGGTGATTCTAGTCATTAGGGTCTTTCTGGAGAATGCTAGTAAAATTGGCAAAGAAACTACTTAATCTGCCAGAAAATAGAAAACTTGGTTTCTATAGTGTTGACCTTGTCATTTCTGATAGCGTTATGTTTTCCTTGTATTGTATATTTATTTTTTGAAGAATAATATGAGTATTTTATGCTTTCCTTGACATGCATCATATACTTTATGTTGGTACTAAAGAAATCTTCTCTTGAAGTTGGTTAACATTTTAATTTGCAAACACTTAGGCTTCCCCTATTGGTGAAGGCATACGTTAGGCAAACAGTTTTCTTAGCTCCCAGTCAAAGTTGGGGGAGAGAAGCAGGGGAGTTAATATACGTTTTAACTCTAGAGAGCACAGTCCCAGTCCTTGGTAAAATCCTAAAAGGACACTACCATTGTCATTACAGATGGAGTACATCATTGCAACTAATATTTTTTTGCCTATTCGTAGAGGCTCAAGCCAATATTCTTGTCTGGATTAAATATTGATGTTTTTTGTCTGTAGGGATACTTAATAATGTCATTGGGACAGATTCCAAATGTTTTATATTTGTATAGGGCAACCTAATCGTGTCGGAAATTTGGGGATGAATTCCCCTTAAATACCATATGATAACTTATAAGTTGAACTCTTTTAGGATTGCCTTTGCTTCTAGACAGGATGAGTTGTAGGCCTCTGGTCTTCGTCTGAACAATCCTCTCTCTCTGCCGATGGTCTTTTATTTCTTTGGCTTTTGGAAAGCATTATTGAAAACCCGGAGTCTAGCAGCCACATAGCACATAGTGTTCCATTATTCAGAAATAAGTTTTACCTTTAATCGCTGATACTGGAAAATTTTTTTTTGCTTAAGATAATTCTCGTTACTTCTTGGAAGAGGCAAAAGGAAAAACTGAAAGGGCATAAATATATTCATAATGGTTGTTTTCAGGTATATGATGAATTGTAGGCTATAACATTGATGAATGTGGGTTCCATGGTATCACTGACCCGAAAAAATGGTGCTTTGTCTTATATTCTAGTAATGTGACATTGTAGTGAAATTTGATTCTAACATTTCTAGAAGTGTGTTGCTGCGTTGTCCTACATCAATATAAAAGCCCCTGTAAGGTGAAAGTTTGATGTTTCATGTTCCTCCCTGTTATAATTTAGGCTGCAATTTGTGAAGCTCCAGCTCCTAAGAGGTAGTAGCATTTAGGGTGGCAAGAATCAATGGTTAATGCTGTCTTGAGTTGTTTTAAAAGTAAATAGCAAAATTTCACTCACAACTATGTGATTTTTAGTTTGTCAAGGGAGCTTTTGGACATCCTAAGATAGCTGATTTGCCCCCATTCAGCTTTGTACAAAAAGAATGCATCTTCATAGACTACTTTAGAGAAGTTGCAAGCAATGGTAGCCAAAATAATGATACAATGCATTTTGATAAAATTTCCTAAATAATCCCGTGCCCAAAGTTGTGCTTCTGATTTGTTATTTTCATGGCTTAATTATAAACAACGCATGCTTAGCTTTACATATGTGATTTGCCATACGGAGAATCCCCTTGTGCCAAATGAGAAGATTCACTTTTGAACATTGAGGTCAGTGATAACTGTGCCATCTCTGTATAGTAGTTCATGGCTTAATCATAAGCAATTATAGTGAATCAACAATGTTACTGAAAATTGCTTTGCCACTTTGAGAGAAGGTGAATTTTTTTTTTTTTTTTAAATTTTCTGAACAGGTATAAAAAATGTAGCCCACTTTACAGGATATTAGAGGTTTCATGACCCCTGTCCAAATGCCCTT